GTAAAACATATCGCCTTTAGTTCTGTCAGCTTTTCTCAACATTAAATTTAAACTATCTCATAGTGATGGCCAGATGTGTAACAGTTTCACTTATTTTATCTTTCTAGTTCAGTTTTCTGCCTTGTCATCATCACCTCTATCACCTCTATCAAAATTCTAAGAAACTTTTTGCTCTACTTTTTTGTCTTCAGTATTAACATTAGAATAGATCAGTAAGTGCTAATGATTATCGTCTGTCTTCCAAATTTTCCACAAAAATCTATATATCTTGTTTTCCTCAAAGATGAACCTGTCTTCCTATAAATTCTGAGAGCAGGTATACTACAAAAGTCACCTCTTTTCACATTCCAGTTACTGAACAGTTGAGTTTTTCAAGTGGTATCATAAGTTCAGCTGACAGTTCTTACATGCTTCACTTTCATCTATTTCTCTCTAGTATCCTTATTTATATCTGAATCCATGAATATGTGCATTGCTATGGGCAGATAAAACATCATCTTAGCCTTTTTCTTCAGGTTGCATAGCAATTGTCTAAAACCTAAGGAAAGAAACTATACATACATACATACATATATATATATATATATATATATATATATATTGCTTATTCACTTGACCTATTTGGAAAGGTCATTTAGATATTTCTTTTGCCTTGTGAAATGGAATTATGGATTTTTTTTCTAGTAAGCAGGGTACTTTTCTGTGTTTCTGTGTATGATTGATTTTTCCAACTATGCCCTAGATTCCAAGTTCAGTTTTCATAGTACTTGTTAGCTTAAAATCCCTAAAGTACATTGTCGGCAGAAAGTCAATGAAAGGAAAACAGAGTCATCAATATTGAATGTATTGTCCAAATGGAATTTGGTGCCTGAGGTCAGCAGAAGAGCTGTAGTTCACATCTCTTGCTTCTGGTAATAGCTTCTGGTCTTCTTAGCTATCTTGTACCATTTATTCTTCAATTCTTCTTGCTATCCTTAGGATAGCTTTTTGAAATTGAGTGAATTCATAGCTACTGTTTTCTTTTCATTTCTCAAGTCATTATGTATGTATGATTTTCTCCCTCTCAAAGCTCTAAGTATCTCCATTGTTCTCAGGAAAATACCTATCAGTTCTTGTTCTATTCTTTTCAATATCCATTCACTACCATTTTAGGGAGGTAATACTAAAATAATTATTATTTTATGTCTTTAGTGTTCATAGTTAGACAGTAGCTTCTATGGTGCATAAATTGTTGTGAATGGACTACATACAAATCTGTAGCAAATTCAAACTGATGAAAAATAATGGATAGTTTTTTTGATCGTTCTAATATTGTCTAAGTCCAAACCTAGGCCAAAGAAATAAACTTTTTCTTATCCTTTTTCTTCTTCAGAAATATATATATATGTGTGTGTATATATATATATATATATATATATATATACACACATATATATATATCTTGACAACTCTAATAATAGTCATGTTATTTACATAGTTATCTGTTGTCATCATTTGCTGTATTTTGTTACACAATTTTTCCTATAAAGGCTATCATATAATAGACACAATAAAATTTTTCTGAGCTTAACTGTTAGGTTGCATTCTGATAGGCATAACTACAACATGAATTTTTTTTCTCTTTCATATCAAAAATATGAATTACATATATAGAAAATGTGAATTTATAATGTTCTTTTGCAAACTAGTAACTTTTCTGTTACTGGCATTTCTTCTTCTCATGGTTTTCCAGTGTGAAGACAAACAAGTGTGATAAAATATTTCATCTAAACAGACAACTGTATTTCTTTGACCACTAAGTTCAATTAAAATCAACCTTTTTTTAAATCCTGGAAATGAGCCAGACTTACTTTTGCTTCAGAAACTGTGTACCAGCCTTTGCCTTAGAAAGTCAGGACATAAACCTGGCTTCCTGTAGTGGGGGGTTGGCTTCCTGTAGTGGGGGGTTAGCCTCATGCCATCTCCTTGGAGAGACCTTGCCTGCTTGCTTGCTGTATGTATGTATGTAGATATGTATGTGTGTATGTATGTAAAGAATGCTTTGTTCTTTCTACATAAAACAACAAAGTTTAATTTTAATTCTATGATTTTATCCCTGTATTTCCTCTCAAGAATATCAGCCTTTAGAGCAGGGACCTTATGAGTATGGTTCAAGATTATTTTAAACACCTAGCATATTGCCAGCACAGAGTAAATTACCCATGAAAGTTTGTTTAAAGAACAAACAAGACTCATATTCTTTTTTTTAGAAATGAAGGTAAATTGCTATTCTATAAGTAGTTCCTGAATTCAGTATGTGAATAATATTTATGTGATATGTAACATACAAACCCTATACACACCACACACATGGGATATCCACCTATATTTCTAGCCATCTATCTATCTATCTGTCATCATCATCATCTATGAAATAGTCTATTTCAAAAAAATACCAATTTTATGTCAAAAATATCTTTTTTCTTTTCAAGATCTGAAAATTACTTGCTATGTGATCAGCTTCATAAGTCACTTTCTGAGCTTTGATACATTCATCTCAAAGCAATATCTACTTTCTAGTTTGTTATGAGGCTTATATGAGATAAGGTATAAGACGTGCTTTGCCTGTAGAAGGTGATGAAAATAACTTCACACCACAGTTTAACTTTCACCAACAAATAAATAAATAGATTTGACCAATAAATAATAACTATAAAATAATAAAAATGGTGTGACACAGCCTTTGGGTTAACACACTCACACAAGCTACTGAATAGCATGGTCATTCTATTTGGATGAATTTGAATGTTTTACATATATAATATCAGATAATTTAAATAAATCTGGAATGGAGTTTATAAAAACAATGGTTCAAATTTAAATACCACTGATTAAGCTTCATGGCCCAGTTTGTCTTTTGGAGTTTCTCTAGTTTTGTGAATATAATGAGAAATATATTAACCCTAATTCTCAAAATGTTTATATTAAACCAGACAGTCTTTCATAATTGTGGCAAGCACCTAATTTACATAAACTAGCAGTTGAGTTGCATAATGGCTGAATATATTTTCTATTGCTAAGAAGTAGTGATTTCCATTTGGGAATCAGCTAAAAGGCTAAACAGGATGTGTTGGTTTTTCCTGTAATCACCTAATTGACACTTTATGTCTTCTATGGTACATAATAACTTTATCAAATTTCAGATATTTTATATGTATAATATTTACTATATAAAATACATATTTCTTTATCTATTACAAACAGTAGAGTATAGTTCATAAGAATAGACTGCAGCCAGATTTAAAAGAGATGCAATCTTTAGCAAGTACGTAATGTTTTCTGATTTCATTTTCTTCATCTGTAAACTGGTAACAATAATAGCAATCACCTCTGAATTATAGTGAGGTTTCAGTGAGTTCATACATACCACATAGAAAAGCACCTATTACATAGTTAATTTTGTATGTATTGGCTACTATTATTTAGAAATAAAATTTAAACTACATTTTCTGATTGTATTAAACATAGTTACAGATCATCAAATAGAATGGTAAAATTTGGTACTATGCTGTATATTTATAAATAGATGACTTTATTGGCCTGTTGGCTTGGGCAGTGATTTTAATCATATAGTGCACCAATTAATCATCAGAGGTGTTAACTGAAATCCAGATTTTCTCACTTGCCTTTGTAGGCTTGTAGCGTGGTATGAGGTGGAGAGTTCTGTAACTTAAACAATTACAACAAATTATTTTAGTGAATATAACATGGAGTAAACATGAAGAATAATTTACTTACCTACATAAATATAGAAAATTATAAACTCCTATAAGATCTTTTTTTTTTCTTTTTTTTATTGCATTTTAGGTTTTGGGGTACATTTGAAGAACATGCAAGATAGTTGCGTAGGCACACATATGGCAGTGTGATTTGCTGCCTTCCTCCCATTCACCTATTTCTGGCATTTCTCCCCCATGCTATCTCTCCCCAGCTCCCTACCACCCACTGTCCCTCCCCTGTTTTCCCCGAACAGACTCCAGTGTGTAGTGCTCCCCTCCCTGTGTCCATGTGTTCTCATTGTTCAACACCCCCCTGTGAGTGAGAACATGCGGTGTTTGATTTTCTGCTCTTCTGTCAGTTTGCTGAGAATGATGGTTTCCAGGTTCATCCATGTCCCTACAAAGGACACGAACTCATCATTTTTGATGACTGCATAATATTCCATGGTGTATATGTACCACATTTTCTCTGTCCAGTCTATCATTGATGGGCATTTGGGTTCGTTCCAGGTCTTTGCTGTTGTAAACAGTGCTGCAATGAATATTCATATGCATGTGTCCTTATAGTAGAAAGATTTATAATCCTTTGGATATATACCCAGTAATGGGATTGCTGGGTCAACTGGAATTTCTATTTCTAGGTCCTTAAGGAATCGCCACACTGTCTTCATAGATCTCAAAACCTACCTAGGGACATTGCATCGCAGCAGTAATCCAAGCAGAGTTGTGACACCAGATATATGAACACTTTAAAAACTATTCTTTGAGTTCACAGTGGAGAATTAGATAAACTATAATGGATGACATTATAAAAGACTTCTAATGGGAGGTGAAACTTAAAGAATAAATGTAATTTTAATTAGTAAATAAATTCATTATAAGAGGAGAAGAAAGGTTGAGAAAATATTTTTAAAAAGGGTACTGTATGAACATGTTGGCATAAGTATATTGGGGTGTATGTGTAAACACAGCTAATCTTATATACATATATGTAGATCCTTATATACTATGCATATATACATAGTATACATACACATACATACATACATACACCAGTATAGACAAATAAGTAGAATAATAAAATCCCAGTTTAAGATGGTAAAACAGATGGTGTGAGTTAGAGACTTCATATTATGAGACTAGTTAGGAAGCTCTTAAAGTTTTATACAAGTGAAAGACCAGAAATTAAAATTTTGGTAACATTTCTTGAAACTAAAATAAACTTAGCAAGACACTGTCAACAATATGGAGGGGATATTGGAAAGGATGTAATTAAAGATAATCTATACACATAAATTGTCTGAAGCTCTAATCCATTGCATTAGAAATAAGAATCTAGTTTACCTTTTGGAGCATAGTGAATGGAAAGGAAGACAAGAGAGATTTTGGAGAATGCTAATATTCTGTTTCTTCATCTGAATCTGGCCACGTGGGTATGTTCCCAACCAGCGTTCTGGTTATATGGGAGTAATCCATGACCTGGATTATTTCTACTATACCATAGAATGTACTAATAGGAGATATCTGGTATTTCATGTATTCAACCAATAAATACTCATCACCTACCATGTGCTAGGCACTTTTCTAATCAAACAGAATACAATGAGAGAAAAAAGTACACTATTTTGTCAAGATGTACATTTGTGATATACTCTATTCTACAAATACATTATACTTTTCAAGTTAAGAAATAAGTTTGAATATAAAACAAACTGAAACAAGAACAGAAAATCAAACACTGCATGTTCTCATAGGTGGGTGTTGAACAATGAGAACACAAGGACACAGGGATGGGAGCATCACACACCGGGGTCTGTTGGGGGGAGGGCCAGCGAGTGGGTAGGGAGGTCGGGAAGGGATAACCTGGGGAGAAATGCCAGATGTGGGTGATGGGGGGATGGAGACAGCAAACCACATTGCCATATGTGTACCTATGCAACAGTCCTGCATAATCTGCTCATGTACCACAGAACCTAAAGTACAATAAAAAACTAATTTTAAAACAACGTATATAATTTATTCATTAAAATGATCAAAGGTTTTGACCTTTACAAAGGAGATACTACAAGATGATATGAATTGTTTCTAAATTTCCACTATTTGCCAAAACATCTTTTAGATTCTCTTCTTAAACTACATCATAATTTATAACATACTTTAAAGTATTTTTATTGTCATATAATTTAAATATAACAAAATGTGCAGATTATGGTTGTTTGATGAGTTTCATGCAATCTACAATATAGCCAAAATGTAGAACATTTCCATCACCCGTGAAAATTTTCCCATCTCAGTTTTGTAGTCCAATCACAACACTAGTATTTCTGTTATTTCTGTAAGCCTAGTCCAGCTTTACTTAGAACTTGACAAAATGTTATCAGCCATAAACTATGTACATGTATTCCAAATATATGTATATGCTTATACATACATATGCACCACACACTGTTCAGATCTTTTCTTATTTTCTTTCTTTTTCATTTTTAAATTATACTTTAGGATCTGGAGTACATATGTAGAACTTTGAGGATTGTTGCATAGGTACATGGTGGTTTACTGCCTCCATCCCCCATCATCTACATCAGGCATTTCTCCCAGTGTTAACCCTCCGCAATCTCCCCACCCCCTGCTATCCCTCCCTTAGCCCTTCAACCCCACAGACACCAGCATGTGATATTCCCCTCCCTGTGTTCATGTGTTCTCATTGTTCAGCACCCACATATGAGTGAGAACATTTAGTGTTTCATTTTCTGTTCTTGTGTCAGTTTGCTGAGAACGATGGTTTCCAGTTTCATCCATGTCCCTTCAAAGGACACAAACTTATCCTTTTTAATGGCTACATACTATTCCATGGTGTATATGTGTACATTTCTTTATCCAGTCTATCATTGATGGGTATTTGGGTTGGTTCAAGGTCTTTCCTAAACAATGCAGCAGTGAACATACGTGTGCATGTGTCTTTATAACAGAACAAATTTTAATTCTTTGGGTAGATACCTAGTAAGAGGATTGCTGGGTCAAATGGTATTTCTATTTCTAGGTCCTTGAGTAATCACCACACTGTCTTCCACAATGGATGAACTAATTTACACTCCCACCAAAAGTGTAAAAGCGTTCCTTTTTCTCCACATCTTCTCCAGCACTGTTGTCTCCAGATTTTTTAGTGATCACCATTCTAACTGGTGTGAGGTGGTATCTCAATATGGTTTTGATTTGCATTTCCGTAATGGCCTGTGATGATAAGCATTTTTCATATGTTTGCTGGCTGCATAAATGTCTTCTTTTGAAAAGTATCTGTTCATATCCTTCATCCCCTTTTTAAGGGAGCTGTTTTTTTCCTTGTAAATCTGATTTAGTTCTTTGTGGATTCTGGATATTAGCCCTTTGTCAGTTTATGAAATTCTTTTCCTATTCTGTTGGTTGCTGGTTCACTCTAATGATTGTTTCTTTTTTGCTGTACAGAAGACCTTAAGTTTAATTAGATTCCATTTGTCTATTTTTGCTTTTGTTGCCATTGCTTTTGGTGTTTTAATCGTGAAATCCTTGCCTATGCCTATGTCCTGAATGGTGTTGCTTATGTTTTCTTCTAGGATTTTTATGGTGATAGGTCTTATGGTTTAATATTTAATCCATCTGGAGTTAATTTTTGTGTAAGGTGTAAAGAAGGATTCCAGTTTCAGCTTTCTACACATGGCTAGCCAGTTTTCCCAACACCATTTATTAAACAGGGAATCCTTTCCCCATTGCTTGTTTTTGTCCAGTTTTCCAAAGATCAGATGGTTGTAGGTGTGTGGCATTACTTCTGAGGCCTCTGTTCTATTCCATTAGTTTATTTTTATGTTTTGGTACCAGTACCATGATGTTTTGATTACTGTAGCCTTGTAATATAGTTTGAAGTCAGGTAGTGTGATGCCTTCAGCTGTGTTCTTTTTGCTTAGGATTGTCTTGGCTATATGGGCTCTTTTGTGGTTCCATATGAAGTTTCCAGTTCTGTGAAGAAGGTCAGTGGTAGCTTGATGGGGATAGCATTGAATTTATAAATTACTTTGGGCAGTGTAGCCATTTTCACAATATTTATTCTTCCTAACCATGAGCATGGATGTTTTTGTATCTCTTTGTGTTCTCTCTTAATTCCTTTAGCAGTGGTTTGTAGTTCTCCTTGAAGAAGTCTTTCACATCCTTTGTTAGTTGTATTCCTAGGTATTTTATTCTCTTTGTAGCAATTGTGAATGGGAGTTCGCTCATGATTTGTCTTTGTTTGTCTGTTATTGGTGTATAGGAATGCTTGTGATTTTTGCACATTGATTATGTATCCTGAAACTTTGTTGAAGTTGCTTATCATTAAGGAGATTTTGGGCTGAGTCAGTGGGGTCTCCTAAATATACAATATATCATCTGCAAATAGAGACAATTTGATTTCCTCTTTTCCTAATTGAATATCCTTTAGCAATTAATAGCCTACCAACCCAAAAAAGGCAAGGACCAGAAGGGTTCACAACCAAATTCTACCAGATGTACAAAGAGTAGCTGGTACCATTCCTTTTGAAACTATTCCAAACAATACGAAAAGAGGGAATCCTCCCTAACTTATTTTATGAGACCAACGTCATCCTGATACCAATACCTGATAGAAGCACAACTAAAGAAAACCTCAGGCCAATATCCATAATGAACATTAATGCAAAAATCTTCAATAAACTACTGGCAAACCAAATGCAGTAGCACAGAAAAAAGCTTTTTCCGTCACGACCAAGTACGCTTCATCTTGGGATGCAAGGCTGGCTCAACATATGCAAGTCTATAAACATAATTCATCACATAAACAGAAACAAAGACAAAACCACCTGATCATCTCAATAGATGCAGAGAAGGCCTTCACCAAAATTTAACAGCCCTTTATGCTAAAAACTCTCAATAAACTAGGTATCAATGGAACACATCTCAAAATAATTAAAGCTATTTATGACAAACCCACAGCCAAATGCATACTAAATGGGAAAAACTGTAGGCATTCCCTTTGAAAACTGGCACCACACAAGGGTGCCCTCTTTCACCATTCCTATTCAACATAGTATTGGAAGGTCTATCCAGAGCAATCAGGCAGGTCTTTTCTCATTTTCTAATGAGGTCGTTAGTTTTCTTATTAAGTTTTAAATTATGTATTATTTTTTTTTTTACTTCATTATGTACCAGCAAATGGATTGCCTCAATGGCTTCCAAGATAAAAAGTAGTGGATATAAATGTGATTATATCTCCATTATATCAGACATATTCCTGCTGTTGTATATAACATAAGTTTATTCATTTTTGCCTGCAGTATCTTCCAATGCATAAATGCACAGTTTAAGAGTTTGTCAATCCAATAACATATTGATAGACATTAATTAGTTTTTATCTTTTACAGTTATTAATAAATCTACTCATAGTATTTAAAGTTTTTTTGGCTATTATATACATATATTCCCTTTGGATTAACATAATATATGTATATTATATAAAATATCCCCTTTGAGTAAATACATAGATGTAAAATGTCTGTGTCATTATTGACTGTTTATATAGTTTACAATTCATATATTTTAATTTTTATGGTGTCTTTGCACCAAATACAAGCTACACAATAATGTGAATCTTTCTGTGTTTTGCCTCAGTATATCTAATGTGATGAAAAAAGTATCTAGCCCTAAATAAATGTATATTTAATTTATGAGAAATGGCCAAGCTTTTTTAACATGGCAATAGGATTTTTCATTCTCACCAGTAATTTATAAGCTCTATTTGCTTCAAATCTTCACTAAAGTGTATTATTAGGTATTATTAGGCTTATAACTTTTATTTTTATGAGCATAATGTCTTTTATTATTTGGTTTAAATGTGTTTTTCTTATGGGTAAGAGCACTAAAGATTTTTTTCTGTATTTAGATATTTTTATATCTTTTTTGTGAATATTTGTTCAAAGTCTTCTGCTCATTTGTATTTATTCTATGTTTTATTTGGTGTTTTTCCTTCCAACTTTTATTTTAGGTTCTTGCAGTACATGTGAAGGATTTTTACATGGGTAAATTGTTTGTCATGGAGGGTTAACATACAGTATTTTGTATGTTAACATACAAATGAAATGAACACAGTATCTGATTGGTAGTAACTCAATTTTTAACCGCTTCTCATTTTCCACTCTCAAGTAGGTTTCAGTGTCTAATGTTCCCTTCTTTGCAAACATATTTATCAGTGATCCCTTCTTTGCAAACTTGTG